TCACCTCCATATGTCACACTCGAGTCTGGGCACACCAGCTCACAGCCGAGAAAGCAGGCTGGAAAGCAAACCTTTGATGGTGATATCTAGAAACTTCAGGCTTGGTTCTTTTTAAAATAATTTTTAAATGTGTCATCCTCCCACACTATGTTTTGTTAGTAATAACAAATTATAGTGACAGCTCTCACAAAAGATCAAGACAGCCTGAAGTTTCAAATATTCTTCTGAGGACTCCGTTCTGTGGCCTCCGCTCCTTTTTTTCTCTCAAATTGCAGTGTTTTAAATTTTCTGCTTGATGTAGTTCTAATTAGAGAAAAATTCAAAGTTTAAATTATTAGCCTGAGTTTTATTATTTAACTTTATATTATACAATGTCCATTTTATTTTTTTATTTTAAAGAGAAAAAAACCAAAAAGTCAAGAAGCAAACAATCCAAAAAACAACAGTGATGCAAATAAAAGCATTTAAATGATATGCAAGATGACCAAAATTACAAAATTTGTATCCTGTGGTTCATGTTTGTGTATGTGTGTGTGTGTGTATATATATATATATATTCTTTTCAGTGTCAGTGCTATCCAAAACAGACTTAGCTGTTTTTATTTCACTTCTTGGCATGTACACTTTCTTCTAGCACTTTCTATCTTTCTATCTATCTGTAATAAGGGCCACAAGGAAAGAAAAGGACCAATGAAATTAATCTTTGCCTTTCTCTGCCATCGTTTTCAGCATAAGTGCTTGGCTCAAACAAGGAAGTAAGCGAAAAGTAAAGGGTACAGTAGAGTACTAAGGCTAATCATGTTTCATACAATGCTACTGTCTTCTTTCTGCATGCGGAATACTTTTGGTTCAAGTTGAAAGCAGAGCTCTTTGGGGCTGTCAGTGACTCACTCAGTTGAAGACATAATGTGTTGCCTATTCCTACTCTGAATCCTGCTGAGCTCCCACCAAGATTCTGTGTTCATGGGCTTCTAGCATGCGATGTGAAAATGGGACAGCAAGACATAGTGGGCATGCATGCCCACTGTGCTTGTCTCTTCTGCTCATGACATGCTTCCTTGTTCCAAAAGATTTCATGCCCAAATGCAAGATCGCAGATAAAATTATTGAAAATTTCAAAATAGGCAGCAGATATTAAAATCATGTCCAGAGCCCTTCAGGACAAGAGACTCATAGCTCTAGGGTTGCACACCCATGAAGTTGGCCCCACTGCCATGGCCTCAATTCCTGCCACAATGGACCCTCCCGTCTCTCGGACTCACTGTGTTCCTCCCTGCTGAGGGTGTGTGACTCTTCCCTGTAGCCTGAGTATCTCTACTTTCACTTCCTGTTTCCTTCCTACTAGACCAGAGCACTCCGAGCCCACAGTAACTCTCCATCAATGCACACACCACTCTTCATTTATGTATTTGCTGATTTCCCTCCTTCATGGAACTTCAAAAGGCTTGGAGGTCAGCTCTGGATCTAGCTTTGTTCATCATTGCTCCACCAATGCCCTCTGTGTAGTTCCTAAAATTTCCATCAGTGAAAGGGTGATTTAACAGGTGGATATTGTTGTAACAGGAATACAAGTTATAAACAAGGGTAGCATGAATTTTAGGCTTTATTCAAGGCATGCTGAATCCTGTTTCAGTCTGAGTTGGTGAAAATAAGTGAGCACAACATTGTCCTTGTTTGCTTGACTGCCTTTTTGACTAGATAAGAAACACTTGAGAATATATGATCTTTATATTTTAAGAAGCTCTAGTCATTTATCTTGGTATCTCCAGGCCTCATACAGAGCCGAGTACTAGTTGGCTCTTGAAAAATGTTAGGTCTTTTAAACTGCATAGAGCCAGATGAAAATTTGTGACCCTGAAGCCATCCCTGTGTCTCCTCTTCCTTCTCTTTTTCCTTTGCCTCCCTCCCCTTTCTCTTGTTAAAGATTGATGACTCGCAGAACTGTTTTGCCACTGATTGTATGTTTCTAACAAAAAATTTCCCTCATCTATTTTATGCTTAACTTGACTCTTTAAAGAGAAATGGTCTAATTAGCCTCATAATCATGGCAGCAGTTGGGCACTCCAAAGAATGCCCCACAACCAGTCTGAGTAGCTTGTAATATTCTCACATTGGCATGAATCTTGGAATAAAATATGAAAAAAGCATTTTGGAAGCTAATGTGTTCCAACCCAAGTAATTCAGAACAGAAATTAAAATTGATAAACAGATAAATTGATAAAACAGATAAAATCTGTTCTGTTGTCTGAAGGCAGTAGAACTAGCCTGGTCAGAACAGGCAGGACTGAAAAATCCAGTGCTCCTGAGCAACACCAGCTAACAGGAAGAAGTGTTCTTGTTAGAACCGCTCCACAACTTGCCTGTCTTCTCCATTATTCTACAACTGCATTAGAGAAATAGCCAGGAGGGGAGGTATTAAAAATGGAATGTTCATAATGAAACTGAAAATCAAAGAAATAATAATAAAACAAAAGCCTAAAGGTAAGATTAGTATTGATTGAACATCTTAGAAAACATTGGTAGCGAGAGATCAGAGCCTGCTTCCTGTGTGTAAAATGCAAGATCTTTTTTCTGAGTGAGACTTGAATTGGAATATTGAACACTCCTGGAAGCATCCCCAAGTTTCATTTAAGTTATGGAGCTGTCTAGAGATGATGTGGTACAGTGGAAAGCCCATGGTTTTAAAACTCAGCCATACCTAGATTTAATACTAACCTTAGCTTTGCGACCACTGTGTGAGTAATTAATCTTCCTTATTATGGTCCTCCACCTCCTCCTCTTTCTTGTAGTATATAACATTGTATAAACACCTGTCTTACAAGTTTGTTTTGAAGGTCAGATGAGACTACTAGAAGGAAGTACAAAGCTCACTGCCCAAAGACAAGCAATCATGGTAACCCCTCTTTTCATAGTGTCAGTTCATATAAATGTTTGGAAAACACCTGAAATGGAGTGAAGCAAGCAGGTACTTGTGTCACCTTGAGAACGAGGCCTCCTCTAGCATCTTAGGTGCCTTTCTTGCCTCTCTCTGGTCTAGGTAGTTTAGCTGGGCAGTGACAGCCCAAGGTTGAGCATCTCATTGCAGATCCTCTCTCTCCAATACCATCTCCCAGACCATCTCCCAGATAACATTGTTAAGACCCAGAAAAGCAATCTCACTCGTTTAAACCTATCAGTAAGTAAGTTACAAATCTGGAATATAAATCTGGACTCTGACTTTAAACCTCTGTTTACTCTCCCAGCAGCCTGTAGCCAATCACTATCCTGTCCATCTCACATGAAATATCCCCTCCCCTTTGCTATGAATGGTCTCTCTGGACATCTGGACATCATCTCCCCAACAAGTCTGTAGATTTCCTTTTTTTTAAATGGATGGTTCCATTGTTTTTTTTTTTTAAGAAATTAAGACAAAACAGGACATAACAGAGCAGATCAGAACAGAACAATGTAAGCAAAACAGTATTTCACCAGAAGACAACCCATAATTAACGGTAACTACCACGATGTCTCTTTCTTTGAAATAGTTGAGTATAACTTTATATATAATAGTATCAAACATAAAAATAGTATAAAAACATTCAAGAGAATGAGAATATTACAGAGTTTTCAGAATCAAATAACAGAAAATAAACAATGGCTACTATATTATGTCATTTTCCATAGGAAATTTGTTTATACTTTCACACATAATACAATCCAATAAGGTACAACATGATAGAGCCAGTGAAAACAGAAGAGCAAGAGTATGGTAGGACTTCAGAGTAAAATGATATTATATCAATACTGGCTATTATAAAGACTTGTTTCCCTCAAATTAGCTGTTCGTACCATCACAGATAATGAGAAATCAGAAAACCAGGACAAACACATTACAACTACGATCATTATAAGGTTTCAAAACAATGTAATGGGGAGTCATGATTACCCGAAACTCTTATGTACTCTTACTATTTCTTACACTAGGGGGACTATACGGTATTTATACATGTGAGTTTGATTTATTTTTGGTAGGAAAAAGACATTTCTCAAATTATCAGCACAAGGCATTTACTACAGAATTTGCTTGCAGTCAGGGTTCAAGAAATAAATATTCATCAATGCATGGGAAAAAAAGATGTTCACATGGCTTTATTATTTTAATGCACAAAAATAGTTATAATAAGCATTAACCTAGCTGAAGCAGAGAAATGCACTAATTTCACAACATGTTTAGTTCTTTGAGAAATTAGCTTTTCAAGCTCCACAGGGAATCCTGAACTTATATAGACACACTCCTACTGTTTCAAGAGAGCAAATTGCACTCTGAGTGGCTGCCCTATCACCACTGGGAAGGGGTGGATGGGGAAAAACAATGGTGGGAAAAGTGTAAGCAATTTAGCTGCAAGACGTGGCCTGTTTAAAATGCAAGTAAAAGAAAGAGGAAAACAATGCTGCTATAACAGTCATTTGGAGATCCTCGTAAAATGCACATTCCAGTCTAGGAGGTCTGGGTGGGGTCTAGAATTGTGTGTTTCTGACAAGTTTTGGGTGATGCTTATGTTCCTGGTACATGCACCACAGTTTCAAGCACTGGGAATATCATCATGAGACAAAGTGATATGAAAAGCCTTGGTGTTTTGTTTTGTTTTGTTTTTTTTATTCCTTCCCTCTGCAGTCATTTGTCTTTTGACTATCGGCAAGTTTCTTAATTCCAGACTAGGCAAAGGACAAGTGGGAAATCTGCTAGGAAAACTGGGAAAATCAGCCAGCTCCCCAGTATGCTAATTCACCTTTTTTCCCACCAGGATATATCTAATAGGTGATATTTCATTACTCTTTTACTGTTTGTGAAATGAGCATGTTGCTTTGATCTCGGGAGACCAACAATATTGGTTTGAAAAGCCTGTTTACGGAGGAAATTACTTGGAGTATTTGGGTCTGTGAATCTTGTGCAGTAAAGGCAATATCTTCAGTCTGGCAATTCCCAGGGCTCCCACTCACTGCCTTCCATTCTTCTGCAGGAGAAATCTGTGCTTTCAAGATCCACGGCCAGGAGCTGCCCTTCGAGGCTGTGGTACTCAATAAAACATCCGGCGAGGGCCGGCTCCGAGCCAGGAGTCCCATCGACTGTGAGCTGCAGAAGGAATACACATTCATCATCCAAGCCTATGACTGTGGTGCTGGGCCCCGAGAGATGGCCTGGAAGAAGTCACACAAGTGAGTGACCCACCACAGCTCCCTAGAGCCCTCTCTGACCCTGGCCCAACACCTCCACTCACTGCATCCACGACTGCCCTGTAGATATCTTTATACCCCAGACCTGACCCAAGTCCTCCCAGCTTGTCAAGTCCATGCAGGAATTTGGACAATCTAGTATTCTAGTCCAGGAATACTCATTGTTCTTTGCTGGAAGATAGTACCTAGGTCACCTTCAGGACTAAGTCTATATTTCACTTCTTCTGTGATTCCTGTTGTAAGCCAACATCTTCCAGCTCACCCACTTGGGACTTTTCCCTGTGTGCTTTGTTCTGCTACAATGCTTCTCATTGTGAGTTGTTTCTGCTCTCCCCTTCATGGAGTCTGGCTCAGACTCTATCATGGAATAAGAGAAGTTAAATTGTCACTGAATAGAGCAGTGAGTGAACGGATGAAATAATAGAGAAAGAGGAGAAGTTGAAGAGGATAAAAGGTAGGTAACACGGAAGATGAGAGAACATGTAAGAGTCCCTAGCCTGACCAGATTGTGACTTTTCCCACACACTTGCCCCTGAGATAAGTCAGCTCTCCTGGGAGATATCTATCTTTACCATCATCTCTTCTTTCCAATGTGTGACCCAGGGCCGTGGTCCATATCCAGGTGAAGGATGTCAATGAGTTTGCTCCTACCTTCAAAGAGCCAGCCTACAAGGCCATCGTAACAGAGGGCAAGATCTATGACAGCATACTCCAGGTGGAAGCCATAGATGAGGACTGTTCCCCCCAGTTCAGCCAGATTTGCAACTATGAAATCATCACAACAGATGTGCCTTTTGCCATCGACAGAAATGGTGAGTGTTCTGGGAGAATCCCAATAGAGTCAGAGAAATCAGCTGCAACTCTGAGGGCACGTAGAGCCTCCAAATGTACTTGGCAATGATTCCTGTGTTGGTCTAGCCTCCTGACCCAGAACTCAGTCCTCCACTAAAAGAAATGGTTGCTGTGTGATTAGCAATTTGCCAGCTCTAAACTACCCATTAGGAAATTTCAAAATCCTACTCACTGAATAGGGTCTATTAAACTCACAATGCTATACATCTGGATACTGAAAAGAGTTGCTTTCCTGGTAGAATTTTCCACTTACCTCCTAGACATGAATCTTTACATCATTTGACCATATCCAGATTCCTTTCCTATTAGACAAGTTATAACATAACTCTAGCACAAAAATCTGCCTTCTCCCAATGAGATGCTACCAAAGATGAGGATTTTGAACCACCTTCCACACCACACATACATTAAGGAAACTTTAAAATGTTTGGTAATGTCCCTTTTCAGAATTTTAACCCCAGTGAGAACCTCAGTTGCACATCAAACTAAACTGAAATCATTTCTATAAAGCCATTTGGATATTTCTTCATCAACATTAATATGAAACTCACTATAGTGTAAACATCATAACCAGAGTGCCAATCAGCTCAACTCACTTCGGACTACAATTTCAATATTTTGAGGAAGGTAAAATGGTACTATTTGCAAGATATATTTTTAAATTATTAGGTTAGTGTGTGGTTGTCTGTATATTACTTTGCTTCAGATTACAATTAAGTACCGCACAAAGATGCAAAAGTTGTAAGACCTGAAATCCTTACACTCTGTAATTATTTACTAAGTATTTGTAATTATTTGCCATTTATCAAGGATTGTGCTAGATACTTGGGATGGATACAGAATGGAATTCCAAACAGGTATGGGCCTGACCACATAAAGTTAACTATCTAGTGAAAACAAGTTGTAGGGGAGTCAAGAGTGAAATTCATGCACAAAGCATGCCACGTATCAGAATTAAGGGGGAAAAAGTAACTAGTGTCAAGAAGGAAATAGATCTTTAGAATGCTTCTTTACATTAAGGCTGGAGAGAAAGTATGATATAATCTGTATCCTGAGAGCTACAGCAGATTCCATTGTCGAGGTGGGGGAGAGACACTTTCACCCCTAACTGTAAGTAGCTTATGTCCTGTCCTGGAAGACAAACTGATATTTATAAGACAGAGAAAGTAGTAACACAGTAGTTTCCCTACAAAGGCTGAAAGACCTGAGAATGACAATTGCCCACGTGGACATCACTAGACACTGATTGTACAGGACCCCAAAATAGTGCACAGGAAAACAAAGGGGGAAATACTGGACTTGAATTAAAGGTTGCTTCAGAAATAAGAAGAAGGTAATTTAACTTAGTACAGCCTATCAGCTTCTCCCACAGGCCCTGTGAAATAGCTGGTCTGCCCCTCACCACCACAAAGAATGCACACACACACACACACCACTCTACAAAATATAAAACAACTGTGTTTCTCTCCTCTGGATTTCCATTCTTCTGTGTGCAGTCTGTCCCACGAAAGCACTGGGATATGGAAAGTGATGACTGCACAAGACCAGACAAGTTGGAGGTGTCTGTGATCAGTGGTCAAGCTCTACTTGGCCTCCTGCCCTCATTCTGAAGAACCAGGGCCCAATGAGAAATGAGATGCAAATACTTTCATCTAGGGTAAACTACCCCAGCCATGAAGATAATTACTCACCTTGATGAGCCATTTCACTAACATATGCCAATATATTTCCCTGGTTGTCTCATTAAAAGTGAGTAGTGGGACTTTTGCCAGGCCGCTGCCTCCAATTTTGGTTTACAGCATAAGATGAAGAGGTGAGTGGGCACTCTTGGGGAGTGTGGGCCCCCAATAGTGAAGTTTACAAAAGCAATTCTCCAAGTAATGAAGGCAGGACCCAGGGGCAGACACAGCAGCAGCGCCCATTCTAATGAGCTGGCAACTGGCCCTTATCCGTCACCTCTCTGGATGACCTTCTCAGCTCCTTGAAGGAGTCCTTTGCATACATGCATATCAGGGAAAGTACTGTGGATTTGGGATCCATTCATTGAGGCTTAGGTTTCCCATATCTTTTGACTCATAGCTTTAGGCAGATTCTTCCTGGTCTGTCACCCAGGCAGGCTCTGAGTCCTAAGACACAAAGAACTTCCCTAATACATCATCACACTGGCTGCAACATGGGGATGGGAACCCTGCAACAGACTTTCTCAGCTTTCACACTTAAAAATTCCATGGATTTTTACTTTTTCAAATTCCAGGCACTTGAATAAAAAGCCTTCCTTTTCCTCCCTCCCAAAGATGCCACATCTGCCACCACTATAGACACCCAACTCTGGGATCAGCACTGCAAACACATCCTTCCCCCATGTGAGCTAACTCCCTAGCCATGTGCCTGTGAGAAACTAGCCTCAGCTCCTATTATCAGGTCTCACAGCCGACAGGTGCCTACAGCTGGTTCATGCTTGCCACCAGCTACAGGCCCTGCAGCTGTGCTCATGCAAACAGCCATATCTGACTTTCCTCAGCAGCCCCTACAGCCATGCATACATTAACAGCTGGTCCCATAGTCATGCAAGTGCATACACTATAGTTCCAGCAGCTGTATGTGCACGTGGAGTTGCTAACTCCTACCCCAGACATCCGTGGCTCATGTGCCCACAGCTGGCCCTTAGAGCTTCACACAACCATGCAGCCAGCCCCACCACTCCATCACTTGTTGCACACTCATGTTTGCACCCACAGATAGTTTCTGAAACTGCCTACATACAGATCACCAGCTTGAATCTCATAGCTGCACACCTACATGCAGCTGACCTGATCTGTTTCTTCACCCTACCACCAAGTGGATTCCTGACTCTTACAACTTTACACATACACTGCAAGCCTTGAGTCCTCTAGTAATACACACACACACATACACACACACACACACACACACACACACACACACACACACACACTCAGTACTTATGCACACAGCCCATCATGCATATGCCTGAATCCAAGTGCATTCACACCATTGAATCAGTCTCTTGTCATTGTACCCATGGACTCCACCAAGATCACCAATATCCCCCCTAGGTACCCTAGACCTGCCATAGGCTTTACCACACTAAAAACCATACGGTTGCTGATGTTGCAGACCCTTGTTTCCTGAACCAGAAGGACACCAGCCGGGCCTCTCTGCAGATATGGAGTCATCACTAGTAATAGTACCACAGTGTTCTTCAACCCACACAGGCGAATGTCTCTCCCTAAGAAAACCAGACTACAAAGTCTAGAAGAAGTGACTGCTTTTTTGCATGCTTAGACACCCGCATGGTGCTACAAGAACCATAAGAGGCCAGGGAAATGTGACAATGCCAAAAGAATATAATTAGCTGCCAGTAGCCAACACCAGTGTACTGGAGAGCTACAAATCATCACTGGAGAGTTCAGACTGTGTCTTCTCTAAAGAATCTCAGTGAGCTACAAGAAATCAGGGATGAGCAATTTTACTAAATCAGAGAAAAATACAAGAACAAAACAAGAATGTCAACATGGAGATACAGAATATAAGAATGAGTCAAACAGAAATGTTGGAGCAAAAGAACAAAACTACTGAATGCAAAGTTCAACTGAAATCTTCAACATCAGACTCAGTCAAATAGAAGAAATAATACATAGATTCAAATATAGATCAAGAAATTGTTCAGTCAGAAGGTGGAAAAAGAAAAAAGAATGAAAAGAAATGAAGAAATAGTATAAGATTTATAAAGCACCATCACGAAAGTTATTTAAACCATGAAGTATTTAAATTGAGAAGACAGAAAGTGGTAGAATGTTTCTGCAGAAATAATGTGTGTCCACTTCCATTCATGTTATTGCAAAGACAGTATTTTTAAGGCAGAGTAGTATTTCGTCATGTAGATACACTGCTTTTTCTTTACCCGTCCACTGAAGGGCTTATGGAGAGATTGTTAACTGAAACAAGCCATAAAAGGACAAATGCCACATGGCCAGTAAGTCAAACTTACAGAAATATCAAATAGAGTAGTGGTCACTAGAGAAGAAGGACAAAGTGGTGACAGAAAAAAAGGTAAAAGGAAACTCTATGAACTGTGAAGAATCCTGGGGAAGAGAAAAATGGTGTCAAGTGCACGAAAAGAGTGAATTGACCTCATTGTGTCGTATGTGTGTAGATAAAAACACCACAGAGAATTCCATTGATGTGTACAATAAATATGTTACTATTAATCAAGAGATAATGGCTAACATTCCCAAAATACTTGGAAATATATGGACATCCAGTTACATGAAGCTCAAAATTCACTGATCATATCCAATGCAAAACTCCAGCAAGACATGTAATAATTAGAGAATCAATGGCTATGTAAGTGTCTCAGTAATACAGGGCATGTTCCACATGTGTAAGATACTGGATTCACTTAGTGCCCAGACCAAATAAATAAATGCAGTAATACAATCCAAACTCACAGAGACTTTACAAATCAGCAAAAGGAAAACATATCATCCATATGGGAACTGCAATGAGATTAGCATTGGATTGTTCAACAGAAACCTTATGATCCAGGACAGAGTAAAATGATATATTCAAAGTGACAAAGCAAAAACTTGCCAACCAAGAATGCATAACCTTATAAATGGTCTTTCAGCAATGATGCTTTTCCAGACAAGCAAAAGCTAAGCAAGCTCATCAAAACTCGATCTGTCTTACAAAAAATGCTAATGGAAATTTTTCAAGCTGAAACAAAGAATGCCAATTTATAATATAAAAACATATGAAAGTAGGTATAAAATTCATTGGTAAAGAAAAGTATATATGAAATTTAGAATACTCTAATTCTGTAATGGTGATAGGTAAATCATTTACAAATCTGTTTTTAAAGTATTAAAAATTGCTATAGCTAAAACAGTTTGTTAATACAGAATTGTAAGAACATGTAAACTGTGACATCTCTAAT